TATCTATTTAAGGTCACTGCAACCGATGGTTATACATCTAAGTCTTCTAAGTACTAACGAACGTGAAACGTGGGTAAACAGATCTGCATTCAACATCTTATCCTCATTAGTCTTTAAAATAATAGATTCTAATACTGTAATCAAATTATATTAGAGCCAATCAAGACATCAAGTATCAACTTTAGCTGTTGAAAGTCGTTCTAAATTATCATGACATATTTGGTGTTTTTGAAATCTTATTGCATTGCGTTTCCTATTTTTACAATCGAGTAACATTATGACAAAATATCCATTAGTTTATGTTTGATAATTTAAAATGATAATTGTTTTATGATCAATACTATAGCTATTTTAATGTAATTATTTGTAATAAAGGCGATGATGCATTACAATATTTTCATTTACATAATTACTGAACGATATAGGTACCAACGCATACAGCTATAAAACAAAAAACAGAACATGCAACTGGCGTGAACCTGGTGTAGTTCTACGAACCTTATATTATGCATGCTGGATGGGTATATATTCGGTTTTATTTGGAATTGTGGTCTCCTTAGTCTTAAATATTCATGATTTAAATTTAAACTGATAACTTATCAGTCATAATTCTGTATGGCTAATGGCTATTGGCTGTATGACCATTATAATATGTATAATAATATAATATAAATATAATCTATTCTATAGACTATTCGGAGCACACCGTGAAAAAATCCTTCTTACGAGGCAAGGAAGTTTTCACACATTTTACAGGTAAACATTTTTCATTCAAGTGAGTTTCATTGATTTTCACTCAAAAATTCAAAACAGATGCAAAAAAAAATCGTTTTCAATTGGAAACGAAAATAAGATAGTCTATAGTTAACGTACGTTTATAAGTATGCAATGAATGAACAACCCATAATACTGTATACCCGAGTTTTATATTAGGTATATCGTTTACGTTTTAAGCAGTATTCAATTAAAACGAATGTATAAGGGTGAATTAAATGGTTATTATCTGTACCTATAAAGGTTAAACGTATATAAATTATTTTGCTGGTGGCAAGGGGGATTAAACGAAACTGCAGTAATAGATTCGTATTAGTATCGTGACGGAGTGTGGCGTGCGAAACGTTTCGGGTTTAATCTGCAGAAAGGTTGGTGTCAGAATCTCTACAACAGGGTCGATGCGAGGTCTTTGATTATTTCTACGCGTATACAACAATCGGTGGAGTCGTATCTACACACTTAAAATATCCTCGAGAAGTGGACGTAGGACCGTTGGGCAGTGCGTATATTATATAGGTTGCGAAAATGGGAAAAGACACAGAAAAAAAGACTACGGTCAACACCCCAGAGACGCGATAACAACTTTAACCCCTACGCACCGGATAACATCGGTCCTTTTGTTAAAAATGACCTCTTTTAATCAAAGCCCCTTCCGATTTCATTTTACCCATTACATCCACAATAACGTATATAAACAGCGTCACATCAAATAAGAAACATTTATTTATAGGAACTCAAAAAAAAGCAACAAAAATAATATTGATCTATTTTCAGACGTACAATATATTATTATCAATATTCCATCAGCCATTACATAATACATAATCTATATTATAATATTATCATATTGTACCTACATATTCGTAAATCGTAATATGTAACAAGTCAATAAAACAACTCTCTAAATTTATTTAATTTAAATTTTAAATATGCTTATACGTAGTTACATTGATTATATTAAATTCACAGTTCTTTCTGCGTGCTATTAGTTTTTAAATAATTGTTTAAGACGGTTAAGTTTTATTAATTCTCTTACCTGATAATTGATATATTCTAAACCTAAGAAAATCTACAAAAGTCAATACGGCGAATAGGTACTGACCGTGATTTTCTATTACAGCTTTTTTTTGACAGTGCAATGGGACATAATAATTTAAGGAATTTACATTGAAAAGAAAATATATATAAATTTATTATAATAAAATACTAAATTATTCATATATTATTGGTATCGGTATGATATGGATTAATCATATATTAGTATAGTACATATAGTACATTTTAAATACATTTTATAACTCAAAATCCTAACCGATTTCGATAAAAATTTTAAGGCATATTAAGATTGATATTTAGATAGTTCCTGTGAAGTTAGTACGCTGTGCGATAAGTGGTTCCGGAGTTATGGTCTCTTAAGTACACACCTGGTGACATTGCCAAAAAACAAAAAAAATAATAATAGTGTATTATATTTTGGTTGCTATTGGCTAATCGGGCATGTTTGTTGATTTGTATTATTCTTTTTGTCATTATAAATATATAAATGAATGTTTGTGTGTAGGCAAAACCTCTGGGAAGAATATATTCTAATTTAAAAAGGGTTAAATTTGTTTTTTTTTATTCATCGGTTTTTAGTACGGTTAGGTTAGGTTAGGATTTTGTATTAATAGATTATATTAATTCACCGTAGGTGGAATTGAGTAAAACCGACAAACTTTGTATAATTTTGATACTTTAGAGTTAAATCATACACTAACGTACATACAGCACGTGGTCCGCGATCTACCATAGGTAGATTGCCTACCTGATAATGTGTACTGCAGCGAATCAGAATTTTTATTCCAGGCAACGGAAAAGTTTTTTTTTTATTTATTTGAAGTAATCTACAATCTATACATGTTCTTAGTATAATAAGTAGGCTTGATAGGTGACAACTGACAAGTAAGAATGATATGAATAATAAGATTGGGAAAGATACCCAGTGGTAACACCCTAAAAACGGAAAAGTTAAGATTAATTTTGAAACCATAAACCGAATATTAAATAACGAATTAAACAAAGTTTGAGTCACATAGAGTTGGTACACTTTATGGGCAACGAAGTGCACGGGTTCAGATAGTAGTTAATAAAATAGGTGCACAATATTCTCCAAGTAATTTAGGTACTTTAATATAGAAGCCAGAAAGATGAATATTATTTGTATTAGAAAACTTAAAGCTGGAACAATGTTTAGAAATGTAGATTCGCTATAAAATGTGTAGTTACTAGATAGATTGACTAAATAGTAAATAATGTAATGCGTATGTTATATTCTGATAATATGTTACCTACCTATTATACTCTCATATATTATTTTCATTTCGCAAACTTTACTTTATTTTATATAATGTGCATTAACTTTTTACGTAGATTTATATTGTATTTATTGTAATTTACAACAATATATTTTATAAAAATTAAAAATAACTGTATAAAGTCATAAAAGTGTCTATTACATAAGCGGCCATGCGCCCATACCATATTATGTGATATGTCCATATTATGGCCTATAACCACATAATTTCCGTGAGACTATGAGTAAAGTATAACTGTGTATAAGTTATAATTTATAACATGATAGTATAATAGTTAAATTATAGCAGGTACAAAATTCAATTGACGTATGCCGATCAACGGCGGAATACAGAATAGATTTTTTTTCTACATGTTTGGAGACGAATTTTATCTACAATATTACAGGTTACCCGGTTACCATATACAGGGTAGGTACATGTATATAAGTACATGTAGTTAAAATATGTGTAGTATGATATTACGTATTGGTATAATATACAAACTTCTACATAAATAGGTTTTGATAAGTAAACGTGTCTTTTAATCTTTAGTATTTTTTTTCGGAGTGAGCGATGATTATAATATAATTCAATATATATATAATTCGTATATAGATGCGATCATAATTACAAATCTTTTACCTTGCTTTAAATTGTCTCTGAAGCAACAGCATTGGTGACATTCAGCAAATATAGCTGTATATGAAGATATCCTATAATGAGTTTTACACTTTTGAAATTTAATTATACATATTAATACGTATAATGATACTCGTGTAGTCTTATAGTGATATCAAATAGGTATGGCAATTAGCAGCCAGGTATGAGTATAGGCACTAATCTATAGGAGCTATTGTGCGTTATTACCGTACTCGTATAATATATATATTTATAAATTAATGTAAAGTCTCGTGACTCTCGGACATTTCTACAGTTTCAAAGCCAATATGTGTTCTAGACAATAAAATAATATGCGTAATATGCAACTAAGGTATAAAAAAGATATTTTTAAAAATGTCATTTGGCGCCTTTTAATCGAAAGTGCGTACCCATAAATCACATTACAAACCATATTTGCACACCATAATATAGGTGGCATAACAACATGCGCAACGACTTGACATAAACTTGGCACATTGTACATAATATATATACACGTCATCGTCGTCGTCGGAGGGGCGCAGGAAAATCGTCAGGAAGGCGTGGACTCGTATCGGAAGCTGGAGGCGTGTATAGAAAAATGGTGTTTCCGCGGCCTATTGGCGGGTGGCTCGAACCGCCACATGGCTGGTGTGGTGGTTTAGGGGCGGGCGAGAAAGCGGGGATGGGTTAGCGTGGAGGTTTATGTAGGTAGTATATATCATGAAATGCGCGGAGAAAAATCGCCGAAAACCGTTTATGCGGATCAGTTGCACCCTTATATATATATATATGGTTTAATCATCGCACCTAGTACGCATTGCTGTTACGACAACGGTCGCGTGACGTCGTTACCAGTGTACACGCGTTCCGCTCGCCGCCGACCGTTCGACATGTTAGAATGTGTAGCAGTGACAACATAATATCTTATTATTACGCGATATATTTTATACAATGCAAATACATGTTCTGCATGTATATAAAAACAATATACATTCTACGTAATAACTATATTTCGTATTAAATAATAATTATATATACCTAATATTTATTACTACTCAAAAGAGTGTATAATAATAATATATATAATATATATTGTGATTGTCGTCTTCGTCGTCGTCGCCAACGATCGCCGCCCGTGTTCGTCCGTACGATAATATATTAGATCATAGTATATAGGTATGCCGGCCGAGGAGATGTCCACTGCAACGACGTGAATATCGTGTGATCTTATACGGCTGTACATAGGTATAGATGTGGCAACTGTCGGCCTGCGATCGGAATGATCTCAGGAGACACTTGCAGATGGCCACCGCCCTCAACCGGGCCAAACCGTTTGGACATTCTGCTCAACTTTTCTACAACGGTTTATATAATATTATACATATATAGATATATACATTAACATAGGCGCAAATAAGGAGGGGCTGGGAGGCTTAGCCCCCCACCTTCCCCTGAAATTTCTATAGCCCCCAAAAACGAATGACTTGTAAAAGCATCATAAGAGTATCCGGTAAGACCTGAGATTCAACAACCCCCAAATGTAAAACACTATTTGCGCCTATGTTCAATATTGACATATTATTTTACGATATAATATTATACGACTGTATATTAACTACATTCATAACCACGGTCATGCAATGTTTGACCCATCAGTATTTTTTGTTCTGGTCTAAATTATGTGACCAGCTGATTTGTCCAACTTAACTTACAACAGGTAGGTAGTCCATATATCACCATATTAGGTATATGTTATCTTTAAATATATTTCAACATAATATAATATCTTCATGAACTGATATTTATCCTGCATCAAATAACGGTGGAGCTCCAGGTTTTCTTTTATATTATATTAATGATTGGTCGGTATCAGTGGCGTATCCAGATTCCAGGGGACCATAATCCCCCCCCCATTGACCATATTAAATTAGTAAGTAATTGATAATATTATTATTTATGTATTATATGTGCTCCCCTTTGAAAATTCTAGATACGCCACTGGTCGACATAACTATACTGATTACTGTTGGTAGTAAGTTTTTGGAAGACGACTCTATCAGATTTCCATCTGTATGTCGAGTCTATTTAAACTTTAGAATGACATTAATTGCACGAGTATTATTAACTTTATCACGACCGTATACAGTTAAAAATCGTTTTTCTTAATGAACACATTTTTGTCCTCACAGTTTGGTTATTCCGACTTGAACAAAATATAGGCCACATATGAATGAATTTTTATTTAATGAAAGAAAAAAAATATATTGGACCATATTGGACTAGTGCCTTAAAAATAAAATATAAAAAATATAGAACAAGTAACTCGAACGTAACTGATTTTTTAAGGAGTGCTGGGTGAAGAGATGGTAACTATATGCAAGGGTAAACATATTTATTATTTTTAAAAATATTTTGTTATTGGTTTCAAATCAAGTAAAAATATATTTTCAATAATTAGTGCTTTGTGATTATTAGGTATAGCCATTAGGTACTGTTACAAAATTACCTATAGGTATATTTAAATATTATGACATGTTATAAATGATAGAAATTGGGAATCACATGTATATTTAGACATTCAGGTGGTCTCTTCTACAATGGTTATTATTCAGTGCACAAAAAAAGTGAGGAGGAGGAGCACGGAAGTAGATTAGTTATGTAAGGGGGTAGGTGGATATAGGTAATGGTGTCTTTGTGGTTAGGATGGTGATATAACTATAAAGTGGACAAAGTATGAAAATTCTAAAGTTGACCACTCCACCGGACGTGATCTTATATATATAGTATTATATATACCTACCTATCTGAGATTTTGAGATATACATAATATCCCTAGCTCATATTATACTATTACGTAACAGTGGCGTATGATTTAAACACATAATTTAATATAATATACCGAGCGTGTCCTTAAAAACTAGGTTCACTCTATTACTCAGTTACCTACATTATTCAGTACCTTTACATATTTTAGCATTCTGTTTGCGTGAGATTGATGATCCAATAGTCTATAGTTGCATGTCCCTCAAACAGAATTCAAAAATATGTATAGGTACATTATAATTATACAGTAAACTGAGTAAACCCTGTTTTTGCGGACACACGGTATACCTACGTCTGTTTATTGTTATTCGTACTACGTAGAATGTAGATTAATAATAAACAATATATATTATATAAGTATAGTTATAGTTATTCTAGTTAATTTTACCATAAGTCATAATAGGTATCAATAATGACTAATCGTATATTTTTTAATGTGATGCTCAATTATCTGGGTTTGTTTTTAAATTTAAAAAATATGCCTACCAAAATATAGATACCTAAAAAGATTTAAGAAGGTAACATAATGAATAATAAAATAAATCCGTTCCTTAATAGTAGTCATGCACTCTTGCGTTATAGCCTTATATAGGTACTTCGCCTGTAAATTACAATGTGTAATTACATCTATAATATTATAGATGCAACGTATAATTTATCTGCAGCTATACATAACCGTGGAAATTGTAATACTTTAAGAGGACGCACATCCACCGTTCAAAGGGGTTTGACAAAATAAATTTAAATACAATTTGACAAGTAATACAATTTTAAATCTTATATTATATTTAAATAAAATAAGTACCGTCTACTGATTCTAAGTACCTATTTTAAAAGTGGTCCCATGCCGGTATCAATGGTGGTTACATATAATAACAAGGTCACATAGAAAAACGGTTTGATGTGGCACAAACTTACACATAACAATACAGTATTTACATAAAATTGGCTAGTATGACGCTGAACGTTCGTTTTCCTTATGTATTGTATGTTAAAACTTAAAACAGCAGGTCATTCATATTTTAAAATATAAAAATCTCTTGCTGCATAATCTAATAATTTACAAGCTACAAAGTCTTAGCTACTTCATGCATTTGTATTATTTAAATATTATTTAATCCAAATGTAGATACAATTATTAATAATAAAAAAAAGTTTTTTTTGTTTATTTGGTTAATTTGCACCTGTATATTTATTAATTATTAGTTTTAAATCTTTTTGATGTATATGGCATATTTTTGTATTTTACGTATTTTACTGTTTATTTAACTGCATATTTTGAAAATTCAGGCCATAGGGTGTACATATTTTAGAATTTTTACTGCTACAATTTTGCAGCCCAGCTTATATATTATTTGGTACCTATATAGTTATATTATATTATATTACATTGATTAAGGTCGGTCAAACTTCAATAAGGTATAAGGTACAGACTTATATAAATTATTATCTACAGTTGTAAACAGTTAATACATGATTTTATCATATTACTAACATAAAGTGACTTATCTAAAAAATCAAAACAAAATGTTACTATCTATGATTTTTGCTTTATACATTAAATAATTATGAATACTGTATAGAATACTGTATAATTAACTAGATAATAAGTACCTAATAATTAGACGATTCGCAAATATTTTTACTACATAATTTAATAGATTTCATAGGTGTTTAGTGTTATCGACTTATCGTATAAGTGCACCAAATTCTCTTACTTGTTGAGTTAAAAGTGTAACAATAACTTATTATAACAGCTGGACGCTAGTTAATGCCCTTGAATTCTTGATATACAAAATATATTACTCTAACTTTATATAGGTACAGTGTCTTAACGTTTAACTTTAATTATCTCATATTTAATTAGTATAAAAGTGTATGTAAACATTAAAAACTGTAAGTTAGGTGAATGTTATAATGTTATATACATACACGATCTAGGATAAATTTATGTTTCAAATATGCAAGGAATTAAATATTAATCAAATACGACGTGTACTCGCGTTGATGGTTATAATATAATAGCTACCTAGCTGTTATACCTTTTATCAATATTTTTTTTTAATAGATGATGTTTTATTCATATTTACTTGTCCTTTACTTCTAATTATAATTTTAATGATAACTTAGTGATGATGCCGATGTTAGACCGAATCGATAACCCGTTAAATTATTATTTTTATAATTATTTAGTATATGATGTACTATGTATATCTATAAAAATATAATTTATTTATTTTTTGCAATGTGTATATTGACTAAAACGAGTATGGAAAAATATAAAAGTAAAAATGAACAGAATTTTGTAATAAAACGTTTGAATAACGGTAGGTATTTTCCTATTAGGTATCTCTATAGTATATCTACGATCTAATATAAATATGTATTATAATAAAGAAAGAATGAGATGCAAGATGTCAAGAAAACCCTATTTAAATATTATATTCTTTTGGATACAATTTTATTATTGAGAATACAATTGAAAAATATTAGTACCTATAGGTACCTACCAATATTGCGATAACAATAATACATATTCATGTATAATTGTATAAATATGATATGCTATAAGTATAACTTAAAAGGCTTATAAAATGTATTGTAGAATTCATAAATAGACTATAGACTATAGTGTATTTAAAAGATTTTAAACTTGGCATATATCTTTGAAAACTTTGTATTATTCATTTGTTCCTCCAATTTTAAAGTACAGTGCTGCTTTTTTGGATCTTAGTACAGCTGGTAGCTTTTGTCAGGTTGAAAGGATTCAATCTACATTTCTGAATTTCGTTGGTTTTATTTTAGATGTAGCACCACATGACTATAGACAAATATTAAAAGCATTTAAAATTGAAACTGCACTTGCCAAACGTATCCATTCTCCCGGGTTAACATTTTTAAATGGGATATTGTCAGGAAAATTTGATTCTCAGTTCCTCTTATATTTAATTAACTTCAAGATCCCTCTACGAACTATCCAAACCTACGTCCCTAGCTTTTTATATTCCTCCTTGCTCCTCTAATCATTTGATTGATGAACCGCTTAGAAGATTAATGTCTATATAATTACCAATGTTGACGTCTCAAATTAACTAATAATTTATTATTTATTATTTATTATAATATGGTACTTTTTTTTCTTAAATAGTCCATAAGACAAATTGTACTTTTTAAATTAAATTATATTTAAAATTGTATATACCAATGGCTTTCAACCTTTTTTGAATTGCCACTCATTTTTTTTATGTTTTTGTAATACGACGCCTTAAAATAATTTTTTTTATTCATCAAAATTTAATTTAATTACTGATAAATACAAGTATACAAAGTATAAAATGTTCATTAATTTTCATTTAAAAATATAATTCATTATAAAACAACAACTATATGACCTATAAGTATAGGAACTGATTATTATAAATATTTGTGACTGAAATTGTTCAAATAATGTATTTACACGATGTGAGTGTAAATAAAGCCTAATCAAATAAAATATAATATTAAGATTACAGTATATTTGGTATGTTATCCGGTTATCATACCGAACAAATATTTAACTTTTTTTTATTTTTAAAATAATATAGTTTTGTTTGAAAAACCATTTCGTTCATAATTTTTGATGATCCCAAACTATCATTTAGGAGTTATGACGCCTCCTTCAAGTTGAAAACCACTGGTATACACTATCGTCACTACTCACTATCACAAAGGGTCATTATACCCGTATAATAAATAAATAAATAATTACTAATTAGTACTTAGGTATCTACTCTTGGTTATTACTGTTGTAACTTGACACACATTGTTTTTGTGATCACTTATCACAGTCGTATCCTGCAACATAGGTACCTATCACAATAGTTAATGGAGATTTTTTTAAATTTAAGTTGTCTTAATGGTATACAATGCAAATTTTAGTGCAATAAATTAACTTTTATCCTGTGCGTCTTACGTATCAAAAGCTTATATTTAATTTCTTAAGGGGACGTAACACGGACATTTGTTGTCTCCGTCTTACAAGTACGTAACATGGAAAATTTACGTTCAGCAGATCACGTTTAGTTTTGTAGGTTTAAAAATTAAAGTGGATCAACCTCTGATAAAAAAAACTTGATGAAAAGAACATTATATGTGTTTGTATATAGGTTTTTTAACAAGTTTTGCGTATATAATACGCGTAAAGTAAAAATGTTCATAACTCACTCAACAATTGAATTATCGTAAAGAAGCCAACACACAAACACAGATAAGGTTTTTACCATCAAGTTTTATAATAGGTCAATTCACTCTAATTTTTAAAACAACGAAGCTAAACGCGATCTGCTGAGCGTAAATTTGCTATGTTACGCACTTGTAAGTCGGAGACAACAAATACCACTGTTACGTCCTGATCTTAAGCATAAAAAATAATCTTATATTTTGGCCAATCTCAGGATTTAAATAGACTTCTGAAATATATCTTAAACAAAACAGTAAGTTCTTGTTTTTTGATGCAGGAATATATTAAAACTACATCACTTACCTTATTCTTATTCTTCTGTTGTTTTCGATAGCTGACAGAAGAGTTCAAGGCAACTTGGTTACCCACCTAATAAACTATCAAGTCACCATAGACTAGATACTTCCTAAACGGCTTTGATATTTTTTTTATTAAATTATATTATTTAGATTCTAGGGTTTAAAACTCAGGAAAAAGCCAATATGAACCTCCACTGGGAGGCCTATTTATACAGTCTGTTTAATCTGGATTTTTATTTTTATTTTAACCTATACTCACCGTCAATTGTTTTTATTGTTCTCTTTTTTGTAACAGATTGAATAAAAACTTATGAACCAAAAATAAATGTTTAAAATTTGAATTTGAATAATTTATCATATATTTATCGTCTTCAATCATTAGATTTTAATATCTTTTACTTTTCTACTATTGCTATTTTTTAAAGTAATACTACGTATGGCTAATGGGAGCCTACTAAAACGTGATAAATCACATTTTTATATTATTTATTCGTAATATAAATATATAATAGGTCAGAGGTGGTAGGTAGGTATCTGGTATGAGGTATATAAAAGTTCAATTGTGTAGTGAATTTTTAATTTAGATTCTCCCCCAAAAGTAAAGAACGAAAAGATTCGTGTTTATTTTTGTTAAATAGGATTACCAAGGATTGGACCCCTGTTGCTTATAATATATTATACATCACAATAAAAGACAGTAAACTCTGGTATATATTAAATATAATTTTAATGCCTACTATTAACCCCTCGATATATTTAAGACATTAAGAGGGTGTCAGCATAATATTTGTTTTCTCTCAAAGACCCACGAGCAACAAAACGCAGTCACGTAAAATCGTTTTTTACAATTTTTGAGTACCTAATCAAAAATGTAAATCAATTGTTACAAAAGTTATAGAAAATAATATTGTGGAGGGTTTGATATACCAGTTTTATATTTTATTAATCATTATTATTTGACTAAAAAAAAAATTGTTGTAAATTTAAATGAATATTAAATTGTTTTAAGACAAATATACATGCAAACTCTCAAAAATATTATTCTCAATGATTTTTGTAATGCGTGATTATTTTGCTCTGAGATTACTTAAAAATATAAAACAAAATAATATGTAACAATTTTGCATATGCAGAATGCGTTTTGACTTCTAATATATGTTGTGTGCAGGTCAAAGAAGGAAAACAGTAATAATACGCTGACATCTTCTCAGTCTTGTAGAAAATACCTTTTAAATTGTATTTAAATACAAATCCAAAAAACACCCATTCAGAAAGTATTTCAAATACAAATACTTGGCAAATATTTTAATACTTTTATTATACGTATTTCGTATTTTGATTGTAAAAGTATGTACGAAAATTAATTTTGTAATTAGTAATTACTAGTTTAAATTTGTGATGTCGCATTTAACTATAACATTAGAACTTTGTATTTCCTACTAACCTACTCCATTTTAAACTAAAAAATGAAAAGAAATGAAAATTTGCTATATTTTAATTCTAAAATGCTTAAGAGGATGCAGCGCAATATTTGTTTTCACTCTCAGACCCACGAGCAACATAGATAAAAAAAACTTTCACCTAAAACCGTGTTTTATGATTTTCAAGTTGTCTTAGAGTAAAATCAACTGTTACAAAAATCATAGAGCATAATAAATTTGAGTCACTAATGTGCTAATGTGTCCACATAAAAACACCCGTTTTAACCGTACCAACCGTAACCCACGTACCTAATAACCCACGTTTCCGAGAGTAAAAAAATAAAAAAATAATTAATATTCAAATAAATGTTAAATAATTTAATTTTAGTTATAAATAAAATAATATAATGATTATAAAAAAAAACAATCAAAATGTGCCGAATTCCTTTGAATTTTTAAAAGTATGTAGGTGTAGCTATTTAAAAAATATTGTAAATATTAAACTGCTATAAAAGTATATGTTTATTAAAATAAACTTGACAAGACATGCATATTTTTAAAATAAATAAACGTATAAAAAAGTTTCGATGTACGTCATTCAGTTGTAAATTACTTCAGCGATAATCTGACGGTATATTATACACAGTACCTATACTATTTTTAAATCTGAAATGCCCATTTATGTTTTAAAAGTGGCAACGTGTTTGTTTACAGATCCTTACGAGGTGGTCAACGCGGCCAGCAGTCGTCTTGTAGCCCAAGCGGCCGCAGGCTCGGGACAAATACAACTGTGGCAGTTCCTGTTGGAGTTGCTGGCCGATTCCAACAACGTTGGATGCATTTGCTGGGACGGTCCTGGAGGTGAATTCAAGCTAATTGACCCAGATGAGGTAGCCAGACGTTGGGGTGAACGCAAGTCGAAGCCCAACATGAACTACGATAAGCTCAGCAGAGCTCTCAGGTATTAATACAAACATTTTAATATCTTATTTCAGTGGCATATCCAGGATTATGCTTATTTTCTAAGGGCAGGGGGTCATAATTTTTTGTATAGTGGAGGTTAAGTCTCAGGATCTCTCATCATGAGTTTTATTTGCTGATGTAGGTATATAGAACATTTTATGAATTCATTTTTAATTTTCCTGAAATTTCATGGGCACCACAGCCTCCTTAGATCCTCCTAGATATGCCATAAATTATTATTATTAAATATTTATGTTACAAATTTACAAGTAACGGTAAAACCTAAAATAACTTAACTCATTGTACATTCGCATTGATCGATAGAGTATTTTTATCTAATTAACATAATATTATATTTTCCGCTCTCTTGGCGTATCTATACTGACACCTCGTTGTCTTTCTTTAAATCAAAAGCCCATAAATTAACCAGTTTTGGTTTGATTATACTAGAATAGTGACTGTGTAATACGCACAGTTCACATAACGTAGTTATACATTTATATACGTTACTCATATAATAGAGGCACACTCTATATAGAAGGACGAATAAGGGAAGAAAAAAGGCTTTTATAAATACTAGGATCGCTAACACTGACACAGTTTCTAGTAATCATACCAAAAATAGAATGTTATTGTTTTTTTCATTTAAAAAACATGTAAGTTAAATAATAGTTTTGTATCAAAAATTACACCAAGGTCTTCATTTTAGATTGGCCTTTATTTAAGCTAAGAGTCATTCCATTAGAATTATACCAATTATTAATACTATATCCAAATCTTTTTGCAAGTGTATGTGGAAGCACGGATTAAGAGAGGGTCCAGAGGGCATGGCCCCCAGGCCTCGAAGGTTGGAGTTTATTTAGAGGCTTCAGATTTGTCCATTCATTTTTTCGTTTTAGGCTATAACACTGCATAAATCACCTAAATAAAATCGATGATTATTTAGCGAGGAAAAAAGCTTGTAAATTATAATTTATGAATAAATTGATACATTTTTCATTATTTATTATTATATGTATTATATTTATTATAACAGGTACATAACATATTATACATTATTATTATTTTTTCGTTTAAGGGCCTCATTTAAAACTGAATTTCTTAATCCGGGCTTGTGTATGTGTCTTCTTGACAATTGATTAATTTGAAAAGTTTTGCATATAATATATTATATTAAGTAAAACGAATCGATAATAAAAATTTATTTTTACCAATTATTCGAATATGTAGGTACCTAATTTTATTTAAAACCATTCTGTATAATATATTAATGTCGTAATATGTTTTATTACATATAATATATAATTTATGTGTCGTTGTCATTATAATCGTATCATTTTTGCAGGTACTACTATGACAAGAACATCATGACCAAAGTTCATGGCAAACGTTACGCGTACAAGTTCGACTTTCACGGGCTGATGACCGCGTGCCACCAGAGCCAGCCACAGATGCCAGCAGCGCAGTCCGGCCCCCAAGCGGCCGCTGGCCCATCATCGGTAACCATGCCGTCCACACCATCACCCTCCGACTTTGCCGGTGGCCTGTACGGCCAGCAGCACGCTTCAACTTCCGGCCCGCCGACCACCATATTTCCGGCCGGGCCATCCTACTGGGCCACATCCGCAGCAGGCCTTTCTACGCTGTACCAACATCCGGCCGGGCCGCGGTATCCTCCGTAATCCAAAATATCATAATATATACTAGGGATGGATTCTCGAACTATTGTTGAACCCTCGAACACCCCGAACTTCGATAATTTCGTACAGTTCGAATTTCATAAGAAATCAATACTCGAAAGTTCGAAACATTTCGAACAGTTCCAGAAAAAAGCAAGTACGATATTGATTATATTATAAATATAATCAATATTTTACAAAATATAAATAGCCCGATAGCCGTAGCCTTTATAGAATATTATTTTTATTTTACGTATTTCCCGTATATCCCTTTTCAGTTGTTACATTGTACTATGTCATTTCATAATCGTATCGCTATCTGAGTAGTGAGTTCGAGGGTTCAATATGATCGAAAAGTTCAACAAGTTTGATCTCAAACAGTTCGATAAGAAGAAATGTTCGAACTCGTGAAAATTGAAGTTTGACCCATCCATGTAATATACGACAATATCTGTATACCCACGCGCTGCAGTAAAGTTGTATCACAAATATCTAGATTAATTATTATATCGAGCAAACTTTGTCGTTGAAATAATTACATAATAAGTAATTCTGATAATATATTTTGTTTGACATTGTGTTTTGTAAAAAGAAATGACGTGTCGTCTAACGAACACGCAAACAGAATGTATATATTGTTATTGATATTTCGATTTGTTTGTTTCCATGCATGAAAAAGGCCTTCATTTTAGTACCTAAGTAGTAATAATATAGTCGGCATCGCATCTTGCAATATGCAGCAGTACGTCTCACCCCATACTTGTAACTACTTGCACGGGGGGGGGACTCCCTCTTTTCCTCAACGTGGCAATTATTAAGGCACATTAGTGCATGAGAAATTTTATTTGAAATAGGTGTAAAAAACAATTACTTTAAATAACTATATTTATACATTATATATATTTTTTTTTTACTTATTTGAAGTAATCTACAATCTGTACATGTTCTTAGTATAATAAGTAGGTTTGATAGGTGACAAGTAAGAATGATATAAATAATAAGATTAGGGAAGATACCCAGTGGTAACACCCTATAAGTGACAGGATAACAATGAAAAGAGAGAGAAAAAAAATGATAATAATAAATAAATAAATAGAACTTAAAAGTTTGTATAGAAAATTGGTATTTCATATTTTATCATCGAAATATGAAATTAATTAAGTGACTCGAGAGCGGCTTTTTTAATACATTCGTATAGTGGGTTGATGCTCGTGAGCTAGGTTGACCCACGGTACTAACATCCTGAGAAATCCACTGTACTTACGTATATGCAAATAAAAAATAAATAATATAAATAATAGCACTATACATTTATACATAGTACTTGACTTGACTTTACCGTATACTGACCGCACATGACCATCATCTGTAGTTTGCATACCTAAACGTGCGATCGTTATCCGCTAGCGATAACTTACAGACCTTTGTGTTATACACGTGTGTTAAATACCTACACTATAATAGCAGTGCCACTATCGATGTGAACCATTAAATTATTGTGGTGGTTTATTGTGTTAAAAAAAAAATATATAAATGCACTGTTATTAATAATACTGGACTAGCTGTATAATATGATTCATACATTGTACCTATACATTTTGGTGTCACTGGAAGTGATGAGGATCGTCAAGCTTTAATTCCGTTTGAAGTTTGAACTATGATAATTCTGCACATAAATGTTGGATAATGTATACCTATTATGTCCTTATCGTTAAGTCATATTAAACAAATGTTTTTATTTAGAATTGTATACTACCATAGTCCATAGGCCTATCTATGTATACTACCTACCTATTATAAAAAGGCTGCAGCGCGCGGTCCATATTAGATTATTAATAGTATATTATTATGTATCATCTACAATAAAAAGTTCCTTTAAGTCGTCAGAACATATTATATATAATTTGTACAATAATATAAATTGTAAATATATAAATATCGTCGTGTTATTTTTAATTGTATTCTTATTATTTTTAATTCCATGAATAACTCGTATATTTAACATTTTATTAGTTAGATACGTGTAATTGGTAATTCAAAATCAAAAGTCTACATTAAATAAATTTGGTTCATATAAAAAGAAATATATGTTTTAACTAGTGATGGGCAAATACCCAGCAAATTGGGTAAATTTATTTTTTATGCTAAAACCAATCCATGGATATCACAATACTTTTAGATTCTGAGTTGAACGATGAATGTATTGATTTTACAATGATGTGTATATTTTATTTTTTTTGTGTCTGTCATCACATGTTTTAGGACAGTAAAAGTGCTTGGATTTTCTTCAACAGTATCTTTTCTGTTAGGAAAGTGAATCTAGTTGATACTTTGGGGGGTCAAAAGTAAAAATTTTGCAGTAGTTTTCAAAAGCACCGTGAAAAACAAAAGAAAAATTAAGGAAAAACGGGAATTTTTACGCAAAATCTGTTTTCGAGAAAATCGATTTTGGTTTTTGGTGCAACTCTTAAATAAATGACCGTTGGTACATGACATTTTGACTGGATGTTTATATTAGCATTTTCTATACGCCATAACATTTTCCAAATATTTGGACTTATTTTGAGCTCTTTACGGATATTTTCAGTTTTTATTTTTTTTTAGTTTTTTTTCTAAAGATCGAATTTTGACAAAATTTATCAAATTGAATAATTATTTTGTAGTTAAAAATTTATAAAATGTTCAACTTTTATATCTAAGGATTGAAAATTTAAAACAAGATTCCCCGTAAGTAGTTAATTTTGTTACCAAAAAATCTAAAAAATACATAAGCAAATTTTATTTTTATAGTCATTTTAAGTTCAAATTTGGACGAAATTACATAATGAAAAACCTAGAATAACTATTTTAGTTATTTTGTTGTGATTTTATAATATTGTTCGTGGGTACTTGAAACTAAAATTAAATTTTATATTTAAGTTGCCACCTCAATTATAAGACTTTTCTGGGGGTTGATGGGGTGTATTATATCGATAAAAACACACTTTACAGGAAAAATCTCACACCTCGTAGATTGGTCCGATTTCCGTAATTTATTTTTGGTAGATAGAAGAATATTTTTTACAGGATGCATTGGACTTCGATTTTTGATTACGTTGCTAAAAACAAATAATAATACAAAAACTATAAAGTTGTAAAAGTTGGTTAAATTCAAACTTGTAATATAAGATTTCGAAAAATCCTAACCTCACTTCAAAATATTTTGGCAACTGTGTAAAATTCATACCTTCATTATTTGCTATCTTTCAACTCTCTGGTTCTGAGACTAGATTGATGGAACTATGGAAGTATGAAGATATAGCCGAACATGTAACAATAAGTTTATGCACTTCAATTACATTAGATGTCAGTTGTCCCCATGCTAAGGCACTTCTATGCACAGCACACCACATTTTTAATAGTGGTCTTAGAATACTATTAGAAAATCTATTTATCTATTGAATCTATTAATGCCCACAATCCATTTTTTTTGTCCAATATTAATACTTGCTCCATCCGTTGCAATTGAAGACAAAATGGATAAAAAATCTTCAAATGTCATTAATTCTTGTATTAAAGATTTAATTACTTCATAATATCCAATCACTCCTTTTTGAATAGGTTCTTTAAAACCTATAAATACTATTTCAGAATCTCCATTTGTTAATATTATCTTAACCAATACATGAATGTTGTCAACCTGTGTTCTATCGACAGAACCGTCAACTCTGAGAGATATAGCTTCAGTTTATTCATTAATAAAGGTTTGTCTGTTTCAACTATTGAGTTCAATAATTCATCATGTGTTGTTGGATTGATGTATTGTAAATCACCTTCTTTAATATCAATTTTTTTAGGTGGTTCTAACAAATTTAATTGGCTTTTTTTAATTTGCACAACCTCTCTTGATGGCCAACACCAAGCACTGAGAGTACCTCTTTTATCATCATTAAATTCTTCAATCATAAATTTTCCAATTTTGAGAGCTAATTTTTAATTTTGTTTTAGAACAAGTTTATTTAAAGGTGCATTAATATTAACTTCAGATATTGATAAATTTTTCATATTTTCTACTTTTATACATTCTGTATGTTCAATAGAGCAATTAATGATTAATTAAAATTTCATTTCTTGGAATTGTACCTAACTCAGTACAAATAGGTGGCAAATGATTTTTTTGTCTAGTATGTAATAGAACAGTAGATTTATGTTTAACACAAATAGAACATCTAACCATTGTACGACCTTTTTATTTTTTACTTTTTCAAAACAAGGATCCCATTTAATTTTGTTTCTAATTTCTTTGGTTGTTTTAAGTATTTCAGTACTACTATTACAGAAACATTGCTTTCCACTTCTTCTATTTGAGTAACATTAACTGTTGAAAAGTAAAAATAATTAAACTATGTTAAAATAAATTTGAAAACCTGGATGTTAGAATAATAAATTAAAATAACAAAAAGTTGATTGGTAGGTAATCAAATTAAAAATTGTTACTAAATAGTAAGCGTTTACATTTAACAATAATAATATAGTTATTTTACTTATAAATAATACAATATGAATTCATAAACAGTAGGTATACAATTTTATTTTTATATTAATACCTACCTACTTGTGTTCTGTTGATTTTTTAATCATGTTTGTTCATACTTATTTAACCAAAAATTAATAAACAAAAATATAATAATTATAGGCTTATACTGAAATGTATATTTTATCATCATATGAAATACAAACAAGGCGACAAGTCAAAATAATTATAAAAAAAGGTGGGCAAGTGGGTGTCGCTCTGCTGTACAGTAGGTTACAAGTGGGTCATTGTATAATGGATGGTATTAAATTTGAATTCAATGATATAATATCATTGTATAAGAAAAACGATTCTGAGCGGAGACGGTATGTCCTTCTAGATATAAGATATATTATATACATATCTATGGTATTAAAAAAAATTGACCTATAATGAATTCCAAATTAATCATATCACAATATCCATTAGGTACTTATAACGCGTTATACAT